TGGCCGAATTTGACAACAGATTATAAAATGGAAACACTATTGTTTTTAAAATCCTGGTCATTGAATTGTCTGCAGGCCATAACCCAATAAGAAAAGTAAGTTGAGATAAAAATTGAGGTGTTCTGGAAAAAAAGGCAGAATTGTGTTTCTTTCCTTATCACATGTCAAAAGAAGAGGAGAGAGGCAGTGTAAAAGCCGAAATAGAGACACTATTGCTTTTAAAATCTAGATTATGACCATAAACCTGTAAAGAAATTCAGTCGAGAGTTGATATTCATGGTTTTGGGGGGCAAAGGCAAAGTTGGAGAATTGTTTTCTATCGCTTTTCAGAAAAAAAGGGTAGGTAAGGTGTGAATTGCTGAAGCGATGAGATTTCTTTAGATAAGGGCCGAGGTGCAACATGAAGAGGCTGCCAAAGGAAGAGCTGGGAAGGCGGAAGGTGTCGAGGAATTCTGTTGATAAAAATTTTGAACCTTAATTAAAATTAATAATTGAAGCAAAGCTACGCCCATACAGTCTGGAGATCGGATTGATCAGTTGATTACAGAAGTAAAAGGCCTGGGTAGAACACCAAGGAAAGCGGAGGATTTGTCTACACCAGGTGTTCTTAACCTTTTGATGATTCCAGACCCCCGACAGATTGTCCAATATGGTCCCATACACGCTTCAATTGACTGTCAAAATAATTATCACCATTCCTATTATTTGCCAGTATATCTTCCAAATATTTCAATTGCTTGAATTTACTGTACTTTAGATATGGATTGCTAGGAATAGAACATAAAAAAACTATAAGCATTGTTACCTTTATTATATTTTATTACTGAAAGCAAAATAAAGTTATAATTCAGTTTTATTACACAAGAAAGAGGAAGAGAACATAAATGTGCAAGATTTTTTTTAGTATCTCGACTGCATAAAACAGGCTTTTACTAATCTAGTGAGATATTTGCTGTTATTTTTGTGCAATCAAGCATGGAATCGTGGTACAGTTACTGATAAAGCTTCTCGCATGTCATCTGACACATCAAGTCGATTTCTCCACTTTGATTTCAGATTTAATAATGCAGAGAATCCTGTTTCACAGAGATACGTAGTTGTGAAGGGAACCAAAATATGCATTGCCCTAATTGCCAAACTTGCGTAAGCAGAGATTTGTTCGCGCCCAAACTGCTTGACATCCATCCCAGCCATTTCGAAATCAGCTTTCTTTCTTGGGTCCTCATGGAATTCAATGAAATCATCCTTTGATAAATCGTTATCACTCATTCTCGATATATCACATGAGAAATACCCCCAGCATTTGGTTCCCATACTCCCAAGCGGTATGGATACCCCTGGTTAAGAACAACTGGTCTACACCCTTTGGGCAGTATTTATATGAGGCACAGTACAAGAAGGAAGGAGTGAGTGAGTGTGGATCGATATTCTTCTACCACTTCTCCTCGGAGAAGGGTTCCTTCTAAACCTGACCATGAGATTAATTTCCCAAAGACAAACAAAGAACTCTGTGTGGAAATTGGGGGAATCCCCGAAATCCCATGCCTCTTTTGAAAGAAGGTCCATATAAACAGAAGATCGAAGCGGCAACCAGAGAGAGAAGCCGACACATCAGACGAAAGTCGACAGCTTTACCGAACTCACGTGACTTCCTGCCGCTAAAAAAAGACCTCCGAGTTTACGTTGTGTTCCAGAAAGCTTGTCTAGACTTAGTCACGACGATCAAAGTGTCACGAAATATTCGAAGAAGGGAAGGGTCGAATAACTTGACAAATATATTTCCTGCATGAAGAACACATAATCCTACCCGAAGAACTGATGTTGTACAAGAAACGTTATATAAAACATTTTCTTCATTACTATTTATCTTATGATTTGTGGTTTCAATTTGTCCGGACCTGACCAATTCAACGATCTCTATCGACTATATAATCCTCGCTAGCCTTGTGATATAAATAAAAAACAACGTGGGGAAAATGCAAGGCTTTGATCGAAGTGATCTATTCAAGGGTCAGCCGTGGGGATCGAACATCGAACGGACCGGCTGGGCGTATGTCGCAATTCCATATGTTACTTTAATTGAACTAAAAAAGTTCAGTTAAATGCCTTGCTAAGAGAGGAAAAATTTTCCTAGTTATTTTTTTGTGTTCAGCCTTGAGGGAAAATTTTAATGTGTTCTTTAATTCATACCAAATTATAGTTCCAATGAATGCGACATAAACAGTATGTTTAGCTTTTATCACGCTTCTCTTTAAAAGTAATATTGAAGAAATCCTTGGGGCGAAAATAAAATAAAAAATTGACGAGTTGGAAAAGCAAAATGAAATAGCAAATTTATTAAAACCTTTTGGAGAGTATTGAAAATTTTCTAAAAACATTCATATCTATTATCTATCCACCTATTAATATTCATCGATTTCATATGATTTCATATCTATCTATCTATCTATCTATCATATATATATATATATATATATATATATATATATATATATATATATAGATAGATAGATAGATAGATAGATAGATAGATAGATAATATTAGTGGAAAATATACATATATGCAAAATATATAAATACCCATACATGTATATTTTTAGAATAAAAATTCCAAGAGGAAGAATCCAGGTAGAACTCAATGTCTAGGACAGAGTAAGGATATAATAAAAAAGGCTTAAACACTAATAGTCCATGGTCATAATTTATTCCATTGGAATCGTAATACGATCCAATTCATCAGACCTACAAATTCAAAATGAAAACAGAAAAAACCACTCCGGAAGTGGAAACAGAATTTAGAGAAAGTGTAAATATGAGGAGAAGGAGATTGAACCTTAACAGAGAGAATTTTAGAGATGTGGGGAAAGGGTTTTAAGAGAAGAGAATGAATGTCGACGGATGTCTAATGCATAAAGATACATTTCGTGGTGACATATATACACCATAGACAATTTGAAGCTAGAATAAGAGGAGGGGAGGGGAAGAGGAGGTGGGGGAGAGAGATGGGACGAAAGAAAGTAAAACTGCTTTTACTTAAAGGTCCGCTTTGTAATTGAGAAAATTTGACAAAATTAATATCGACTACAGGTTACAAATCAAATATATATATATATATATATATATATATATAACAGAAGATGTCTGTCCGTGGGCCTGTGTTTGTGTTTCTGTGTGTGTATGCGATTTATGCAGGTCCACATTTTTAGACAAATTTCGATTAAATTGTACACGCATATTGCAAATCTACTAAAATAGCTCAAGACCAACTGTTCAATCTCCAGACCCCCACCCCCGAGTGTGACAGAAAAATTGATAAAACTGAAGGTGGCTACGACATTTTGCAAAAAGCAAGGCAAAGTTACACCGGAACAAAATTTTTACTGGATGTGCTGATGTTTTCTGCCTTTAATGCAAAACATAACTCATGTTACAAGGTTTTTGTAGAGTGCTTGATAGTTTTCCTGCGACATTCGCTTCACACAAAAAATTGCAAAAACTGTGATATATCGGTGTTTTATACTACTTAAAATAAAAACGCAAATAACTTCCTCATTTTTATCCAATTTTCTTCAAACATGTCGCAAAAAATTGCCATCATGCAAGAAATAAATGTGGTTTTAGTCCTGCTTGCTTCCCCGCGTATAACGAAAAACCACGAAAAACTGTTAAAAATCCCCTTTTTCGGCCATAACTTCCTGCTTTTTCATTCGATGCTTTCCAAAATTTGTCATGTAAATCACATATGAGACACAAATTGACTTGCATGAATGCTTGCCTTAGATTCTTTCAGTTAAGTGAAAGAAATCTGCAACAAACTAGGTCCAAAATCGGCTTTTATCATTTAGTCAATAGTTTCTTAATATGACTCCATCCTAAATTGACATTAGAAAAACATTTGATGCAAATATTGATTGAGAAGTGTTATTGAAGCGTTAAAAGAGAAATTTTTTTCCAAAAAAACTCCATGCATTTGCACTTGCAGTTGAATCAAGCTCTGATGCTTCATCCCTGATATTTTTTTTATTAGATTTATGAACAATGACATATTATTTGAAAGATATTATGTCCATAGGAAATTTACTGAATAACTAAAACATTGAAACAATTTAACTCCGAGTAACGACTACACAAGAAGTTTTTATCAATTAAATTCTTTTATTAAGAACAATCAAATGTTTACGATGGACATAACGTAAAAAAGATGAGTGGGAAGTAGATTAGTATACCAAAGGACGATGAATGCAAGCGAGGAAACAGGCAGACATTTCTAGACAGTGGAGACGCGTATACATGAGCTGTGGTTATACAATTTCAGACATGTACACCTGAGCAACGCCGGTTACCTCGGCTACTGTATATATATATATATATATATATATATATATATATATATATATATATATAATTGTGTCTGTTTATACGTCTATCTATTTATCTCTCTATCTATTTAGATCAGTCTGTTTATATCAATCAGTCAATCTCTCTATCTATTTATATCAGTTTGTTTCTATCCTATCTATCTATTACCTGCATTATTTACATTTTTGGCACTGTTATTCTCATCTTACATTGCCATTTTCATAGCATTTCGGGCGTTGTACGCTCCAGCCTTCTTCTGGTGATTGGGATGTCGAAACGAACCCTTTATGTCGTGCACCGGGGTAGATTGTTCTAGTTCCACGTGCCATACCTCTTCCGGGTGTCTCAGTTATTTTCCTTTAACTCAGCTCTACAATTTGGGTTCACTACTGCGGTGACCTGGTATTGAACTAGCAACTCTTTGGGTTTGTCACTGGATTTAACCAACGCCTTTATCGACTGGGGGATGTATCCTCCAGGACGAAATAAAGAGTTCGGTTCGAAATTCCAAACACTTGAAGAAAGTCGGAGCGTACAACGGCCGAAATGTTGTGAATATGGCAATGAAGATAAATCCGAATAATGTAAATAATGCAAATAATCATAAAACTTATCTCAGAGATATTGACAGCTATCTGCCTATGCATCTATCTGTATATCTGTCTGTATGTCTGTCTATCTATCTATGTATCTGTTTATCTCTCAGTTTCTCTCTCTATCTATCTATCTATCCGTGTGCTTTTCTATCTCAATTTCCATCTATCTATCTATCTATCTATCTATCTATCTATCTATCTATCTATCTATCTATCTATCTGTTTATCTCTCATTTCTCTCTATATCTATCCATGTATCCGTGTGTCTTTCTATCTCAATCGATCTATCTATCTATCTATCTATCTATCTATCTATCTATCTATCTATCTATCTATCTATCTATCTCTATCTCTGTATATCTGTTTGTATGTCTCTCTCTCAATCTGTCGATATGTCTATCCATTATATGTTTGTCATTCTATCTATTTATCTCATTTTCTATCTATCTATCTATCTATCTATCTATCTCGGTCTTTCATTGTCTCTCTATCATACAGTATGTGTAAATATTCTTATAAAAAAAATTTTAAATTTTGTAAATAAGTTTTCAAGTTTTCTTAAAAGTTTTGCCTTGACAAAAAGAATTATTTAAAAAAGTATTCTTACAATTATGAATTTTATTTCCCTGATTGAATAAAAATGATGAATTTTGCTTCAACGTCACCGGGTACATCATATATTTGTTGAAAATGGCACCGGGTACATCATATATTTGTTGAAAATGGCAGTACCATTAATTTAGCGATTTACTGTTGGGAATACCCAATGACACAGAAAAATTTGCCTGAAAATGTAACGCCTTCTTCCAAATCATCCTTGCCATAAAAAAAAGGCACAAATGTGTAATATCGAATCATTTTTAAGCGACAGAGTATAGCAATTGACAAAGCATAAGTCAACTTTGAAGAGAAATTAATATTTTGGAAGAGAATCTTTACTAAAAAGTTTTCATGGGCACATGTATTCAGTAGTTCGCAAAGTGATATCATATGTAATATATACAATTTCCGAACCAAGCAAATTTTATTTTTATAAGTAAAGAATAAGATGATAAAATTTAACGTGATTTATCAAGGTGTAAGTCTTTTAGAATGTATGATAAAATTTAGCGGCTGGCTTGGCAATGATTTTCATCTACGTCATGTTCCTTATTTTATGTTGTGTGATTTCATAAAGCCAATGAAGAATATATACCGTGTTCTTTTGTATGTAAATGCCTATTATAATAATAAGGCACTTTAACCATTAAACAGCGGCAAATATGTTTCACAAACGTGCAAGTCACACGTGTAAAAACGAAAATATTCTTTCCTATAAAGTTTAAATTTCATGTTTATTTTAATTGAAATTTCATTAAAAGATATATAAATCCTATTTTAACTCTTTTAGATCATAAAAATAAAGACAACAGGGATACACAAAATGTTAAATTTTTAAATTTTATATTTTTACATGCTGGATTTTTCTTGAAGCAATCCATGTAAAATAGAGTTGTACATTCTTTGTACCAAGTTGTTACCATTTTTCGTCCATTTTCCCTTCGATAAGTACGCATTTAAACGTAATCTATATTTTAGTTTGTTGTTCCAGATTTATTTGAAGGCAAATACGACGTATTTACATAACTCCCAGTAAATAATAACTTTATGAATCCAAGAGTTACCAATTAGTCATTTATATTCAGAAAAAAAAAAAAAAAAAAAAAACGATGCCTGGACTTTTGTGAAAGGTTTAAACCATCAGTTGACGATATTCTCCAATAGAACATCAATCATCGGTCTAAGGGTAGAAACGTTTTTTTCCCGATACATGGCTTCCTACAAGATACATTTTGGGTAATATTAAAAAACATTCACTGCCATCAAAACTTTGTTGGTTTGTTGATTTTTGTTTGCCTCATGGGTTATTTAATCCAGAAATCTAAATATTTTAAAGCAATTAATTTATTTATACTTTTTAAATAATAATATTTTTTAGTGATACAAGTCTTACTAATTAATCCATAGCTGTGGGGAGAAAAGATTTATTTATACCTCTTCCATGGTTATTTGAGACGAAATGAATATATGGAACACATCTGGAATTTGGAACTCAGCTCTCTGATTAACAATTTCTAGCCATTATCCATTACACCACCCGCATATCTAAGTTCACAACACCTGGTATTCTCAAGCAGTCACCCATCTAGGTACGGAGCAGGCCCAACGTTGCTTAACTACGGTCATCGTATGGCAACATGTGATACAACGTGATGGGGCCGGAAGCCCATAATCAAGCCAGCATAAAGAGAAAAGGTACAGTGCATCATGTTCAATACTGAGGATATCTGAATCAATCGAAAAATAAATATAAGAGTTAAGCCGATGAGAGTTGTGCATAAGAAAAAAAAAATCCAAAATTAGAAATGCTCAGCAGGTCACTAAAAGAACCTAGGGTATAATTCGCATATAACCGGTTGAGTATGACGCTTATATTAGTGAACAAGGTTCTAGAGCCGATCAAGGTATTGTGTTAATGTTAAAATGGTTATGACAAATAATATGAAAGAAAGGGGAGGAGGTCGGAAGTGAAGATTATGAAAAGAAGGGCTTTAGATAACGATTGACTCTTGTGTAATGGGAGTTAAGAACATGCTCAGGGAAGTGACCTTTTAACAAAAACGTGACAGGGAAGAGATGGGTGGGTCCTTTTTCTTTATATATGATATAGGAAAGAAATTTGGTCTATGCCTCTCCAGGAAAGAAACATGGTCAAACCTAGTTTGGTATGAACTGTCAGAACTAAAGAATGGTACTCTTATAAACATTTACCATGGAAATAGTGACAGAGTAGCTGTGATGTGGCGTCTTTTTGCAGAGTTGAGTTGACATTAGATCATCGCCCACTAGAATACCCTAACGATTTTTGGCTCTATGAAAGATGGAAAATGAAGATTGAGGATCTCCAGCCAAGGCCATGTCAGAAATATTGCATTTTTCGTCTAATCTGACTATTTCAAGATAAACAATGTCAGAAGGAATCAAATAGGCCCAGAAGGCATAGAACGAGCCGACCATTTCTCCCGCATATTTAATAATGAATTCTATATATATATATATATATGAGTTCCGATTATTTTGTTTGCCTGGAGTTTTTTTCCAGTCAAACAAAAAACAAGAGTAAATTTATATATCATATTGATTTAGTTTCAACTCGATTTTCCGAAGTGAACTCGAGACACGCTCGACTTCAATGCTTGGAATTCCTTCATCCATCGTGGCTGGAGAGAAATCAGGTCGGATCGGTGATGATGAAAATGAATAGAAGAAATTTGGGATTTTTTTTTTTTTTTTGTAATTTGGGAACCCTTTTCGATACTTATTACAAGCAACATCAATAAAAGCATTGGCGGAAAAGATCTGTGTAGGTGGGATAAGAAAATACCTTGTAATACCTCAAGGCTTTCCCAGAGATTCTGTCTTAACAGCATTCATATTTCATTGAACAAAATCAATTAAAATTCGCTTTCTTAATCTTAATGAATTCACGTTGATTTTCTAATAAAGTAAAACAAACAAACAAACACACACACGTATATATATATATATATATAAATATATATATATACGGCGTTAAAGCAATTTTTCATGATAATGACGACACCTGGAAAACAAATTCTCCGGGGTATCCTGAATACATTTAAATTTTTTAAATGTAATTAGAGAGAGAGAGAGAGAGAGAGAGAGAGAGATTTAATGTGTTGTGTGTGCGCGCGGGCCCGCCGTGCTGTCTGTGCATGTGAGTGAGTGTGTGCGTGTCTTCATGTGTGTGCGTGTATTTGTGTATGAGTGTGTGTGTGCGTGTGTGTGTGTGTCTACATGTGTGTGTGTGTGTGTGTGTGTGCGTGCGTGTGTGTAAGGGAGAAAGAGTGAAAACCTTTAAAAGGTTTATTTCGTTTCTGCATTTAATTTGCCATGATTCTGAAGGTTTTGTTTTTGTGTTGATTCTATTGTGGAAGAACAAATAATTCCTTAACCCGCGTTACATTTTCATTTTCTTCTGAAGGAATTATTCATTAGAAATATTAGAAACCATAAAAGTAAAAAAATTAATAATATTTTTTGGCCAGAGGGTTTTTTCCAGCCAAACCAACGAAGATTAAACTCAGCCTTATATTCTTTCCGTTTGAATTCGATTTTACACGAAATTATAATACCTGCATGTTTAAAATTATAATTCGATTCTACAAAATTATTCACAGTTGCGTAGAGAGGACGCGATGCAGCCATACTTTTTAACATGATTATTTGATTGTCATGAATATACTATGTAATATTTGAACAAAATGTCAATTTGGATTTGTGTTTTGGTGACTAGGGGTCAATTTTGGATGGAAATGACTTTGTTAACCTTACAATATCCAGTAAAGCATAGATTCGATATAAATAGTCAGGTATTGTGAAAATTGATTCAAATTGTTTCCCTGAAACATAATTTCTGACCTAGGGTTTGTTTTCCATTGGCGGAGAACAAGTTGAATTCATGATAATCTGACCTTCTGATTTGAGTGAAACGGCATTTTCTATCTCGATAGTCACGGAAAAAAGAACATAAAAATTTGAGTGACTTTTCATTGAACTTCTGCTAATATTAGAGCATAAAAACTGGCTCTCTAAAGAACGCTATTGTTTGCTTACTATTAATGCAAATCAGCAGACACGACTCGATTATCCGTTTGCACTTATGCCTGACAGTGATTTTCTATTTTCTCAGGACATTCTTACTTCCCTCTCTACTCGCATCAAGGCAATCATTCGACGTTTACAGACATAAAATTTTGAACATAAAATCAGATACCGTAATGAACTTCGGACTGCCACTTTATCATGGAAGATATTCTGCAACAGAGCGAATGGCGAAGGGATTGTAAATGGCTAAATGCTTCGGATTGTTGGAAATAAATTCTGGTATAAAAAAGGAGAAAATTACAGTACACATAAATACAATTAAATTATAACTTTGGTTGCGTAAAACATGTCGGACGTAAGAATGAATACTGTCTGGATACTTACTAAGCAATATTTTGCTGAACACGTGAAAGGATGTATGGTGGGTGCAATCGCGGAAAAGGAAATTGCCGAACCGATTTCGAATTCTGATTTAGTTTGGTCGTTAATTTTCACATAAATGCCACCGAGCAAAACATAAACACATCCCTTCTCTCAGGTGAAATTGTAGGTGAAGCTGCACTCTCACAAAAAGCCTAAGAGAAAGATAACTAAATTAAAAATGGGAAGAAAACAACTCATATGTCGTGCCCATGAAAATCAGTAATTCAGAGTAAGGTAGGATTGAACTTCCTCCAAATATCACCCTACTGTGAACTTGCCGCTGATTAACTGTATTTTCTAATGAACAGTGTACATATTTAAATAAAGCAGATTTTCTAATATGGCACTGCTTCCTCTGGTAATAGGTCTGAGTGATGGTACATGATTATTTTTAATAAACATCCAGAAGCCTAGCTGTCAACTCAAGCACACCCATCGGGTCAACCTTTTTTTTTTTTAATTTACGTAAATGATCCGCCAAAGAATATACTCAGATAATTGTAAGCATCTACGTCGTCGCTGATTCTGCTATATACGGGTGCACATCTAAAATTCTTGATGGTCAGAGATTGACGACTGTTCAATCTTCCGATCTTGCACGAACCTACCCAGTGGGGTAAGAACTGGCTGGTTATATTCAATGCCTCGAAGACCAACTTAGTTACATTCCATGATCGCAGACCAGACCTCGAACTACAACCATTTAGGATTTCCCCTCATAGAGGCAGAGTGCTTTGAAAGACTGTCGGGACTCAAACTCACTCTCAACCTTAAATAGAACTCGTTCATACAATCATTTTCTAAGGATGCAGGTAAAATGGTCGTCTATCTGTACCTTCCCGGTAGTACCTGATTCTTCCTACTATCTTCTAATATTACAAGAGCCAGATCAGGTCCAAAATGGATTACTGCTGTCATTTTGGATGAGAGCTGTCATGATCTCGCTCTCCAGCCTTGATAGATTCAAAAAAGCGTCCCCGAGCCCTTGTGAGTGACGAATTATTTTCCACCCTCCAACTTCTCTTCCACAGGCGAGATGTGGCAAGTCTCTCCCTGCTATATCGCTTTTTCCATGGAAAGTTATCGGACGAACTATATACCTTGTTTCGAGCAGTTCAAACTTTCACGGCAAGGGTACACCATGCCACTTACATAGTAGTAAACCAACATTCCCTCCGTATTTCATCGGTGAGAAGTAAGTTCTACTCTAACAGTTTCTTCCTGCGAACCACTGCTGTGTGGAACCAACTCCCACGTAGCTGTTTCATCGATCACTACAATCTTAACCTTTTCAAGGCTAGAGTTAATCATTATCTTCCACTCATATCCGAACAAATGTCCTCCTAACGTAACCCTTGTGTGAACCTCGGACCTTCTAAAGGTTAAACCTTACTGTAAAAAAAAATACTTGTTTACTCACAACTCTACTCAAATTTGACTAAAACTTGGGCATCTCCACAACTGATATGGCTTACTAAATAAAAAATGAAAAATGAAAAATAAAAACGTGGAATTAAAAAAGGAGTTACGAATTACTTTATTTTATTATGTATTCTAGAAGATTTTAAATTCTGCCAGTTTGGTTACATTTAGTAACTTTTTATTCTTGAGTACTAATTTCAAAAAAAATATAAGTGACCTGAGTAATGGTCAAAATTCTAAGTAGCATTTATTTTTTTAAAAGAAAAAAAGAAAAAGAAAGTGTATTATTATGTACCTGACGTTATGATGACCAAATTCCAAAATGGGTATGCCTGTGTTGCAGTGTATATTCTCTTCAAAACCAGGCGAAAAAATAGTATAGAAATAATGTTAACATGTCGTGCTCACCAACGTCTTAAGTTTCCGAAGCATAATTTCCAACGCATATTATCATTATACAATCGCTTCAGAGTTTTCTATTTTTCCTTAAACCAAAATTCTTCCGCAGAAAATAATAGGAAGAATTCGACGTTTTCTTTTTCATTTCAAAATATTCGTCATTTCCTTGTTTTCCACCATTTTATAAAAAGCATAATAACAATATAGAGATTTTCAAAGCGTAGCTTAGATGTGGCACAAGGCCGAAATTACAGAGCACCCAGTGAGGATCGAACTCACTAATCAATCGTAATTGTTCCAACACAAGCTTGCTAGCCATTACACCACCTCGAGATGCCCAAGC